CTTAAACTAAGTGTTCAAGAACAAAATACATACTTAGATGGAGTTAAACCTAATCTTGATATTATTCAACAAGATGTATTATCATTAAAACAAACAGTTGAAGATTTTAAATCTATTTCTTACGATGGAACATTTACATGGAAGATACCAAATTTTAGTGAACGAATGGGTAAAATTTTTATTAATACGATCATTATTTTTTTTATTATAATACTTTCATTTTCAAGCGGATGCACAAACTGAACGTCAAACTTCAATATATTCACCACCATTCTATTCATCTCCAACAGGTTACAAAATGAGAGCACGTTTATACTTATTTGGAGATGGAAATGCACGTCGTACACATATGTCACTCTTTTTTGTACTCATGAGAAGTGAATATGATGGCATTCTTAAATTTCCATTTAATTACAAAGTCACATTTTGTCTATTTGATCAATCTCCGGCGCAGCGACATATCATTGATTCATTTCGACCAGATATCAAATCAAATAGTTTTCAACGACCACGATCTGAAATGAATATTGCTAGCGGTATTCCAAAGTTTTGCTCATTAAGTGTGATTCAACAGGAAGGAAATCCATATGTTCGAGATGATACTATATTCATTAAAATAATGGTTGATTTTGGTGATATCCCGAAACTTCTGTTACCATTTGCATTTAATATCAATCCAGGTTTACCAACAAATGTTCATCAACGTATTATTAAACAAGAATTAGAACGACGGGCTCAACAAACGCCAACTTCAGCTACATCTCCGACTGCCACAGGATTGTTACCAGAAAATACCGAATAAGAGGCGTCTTTTTGTTTATTTTCTATTTAAATTGCATAAGAAGAATAAAACATATTTGAGAAGAATACATAATTCATTTATCTGCTTTTTTCTTTCCTAAATCTTTGGAATTTATATGTATTTCGCTATCAATAGTTAATCTTTCTAAACAAGAGTTTAAGATATTCCAAAATAGCTCATAGCTGTAGTTTTAATGAGAAAGCTATTTTCTGTGATCTTAATAATGGTACGATGACTGAAATATTTGTCAGAAAGTTGATTAGTATTTCAAAGCTGAAAAGTCTTTTTTTTGTAGTATTCAGTAGATACTCTTTATTCATATGTTTAGAGATAATGAATAATAAATAATCAAGATACATTAGTTCCAATACATTGTTTTTTTCCTTATAATTCTGATCAAATTTAATCATTGTAAAATGATATACTCTGTTGTTTATTGCGTGTGTAGTTTTAGACACTAAATATATACTAATCATAAATTTTTGAAAATAACTTACTCTTATATTAATATTAATCACAATTTTCTTTTCATTTTATTATGCTACATTTTCCAAGTTATTTTGTAGTTTAATTTTACTTGTGTTATTGTAACATTGAAATAAAAATTAATCTGCTTTGAAATTGCAAAACTATTCAGTTTATACATGACCACATGAATTGAACGACCAGTTTTGATATCTTTGAGCTTACAAAAGAATTTATTACAGTTAAACGTTGTTATGACACTCAGTTTCTGCATTGAACTAGTATATTAAAATAGAAATAAATTTATAAAAAACACGAACATATATTTCTAAAAAGTTTGTCTTACGTCAAAATCATAAAAATGAAAATACCATACACTCAGTGGCGGCGGAGGAGCGTGGAGGCTCAAGAGGCTTAAGCCTCACTTATTTTCGGATTGAATATCATCTTTTATTATTAGAATTTGTTATATTCGGCATCTAACATAACTAGATATATATTCTGACATACTTATCTTTTAATGTGGTTTACCTACTTTTTATATGTTTGTCTTTTCTTACATGTTTTCGTGTCCGCATGTTTAATTTTTTCTCATTTCGTCTATATATGTTTTATCCCTAGAACGTTTGGTTTTTTTCAAGCGTATATACACATACACATAGATATATTATTACGGCAATAAGGAAGTAGCTCAGTAGTGATTGAATTGATTTATATTCTCTTCACAGTGTATTTAATGGCTGAAAAACGTCCAAACATTTATTCATTTTTCTCTGTTCAACTTTCCCATCGAAGAACGAACAGAGATAGTTATTTTTTGGTACGTTCTGATTTGTTTTATTTTCACGGTGATCGTTGTAATTTTTATTGAGGTCTAATAAAAAGAAGACTTATATTTTGCTTCATGTTTTAATAAAAGTTCACAGTAGAAAACAATATTGTGAGCCTCACTTAGGTTAATGATGCTCCGCTGCCATTGCATACACTCATCATTCATAGTCACGCGGACATCTTCAGAAATCCATCTTATATGATTTATTTTCTATTTCTTGTTTTATTTAGTAATTTTCTTAGTATAATATCAATATCAAGCGCATTTAATCGATTTTATAAATAACAATTATATTTAAAATATAATTGTTGTGTATACGATTGATATCTGATGATAAATTTCTTCGACAATAACGATATCGGTGAATTTCATTTTTAACGAAAACAGATGTTACCATTCGGAATGAATGTATTTGCTTAGATAAGCTAATCAGAGTGATATAGTCATAGGAAGGAAAGAAGTATTATAACAACAAAGATAACGAAAACATTCTATTCTCATTGCAATATATTCATTTATCTTGATTTTTTTAACGAGAAGCACTATACGTCTGATATAAATAGGGGCGGATACGAAGTACATAGAAGGAAGTATATTATTTATTACTAAAGAAAGAAAGAAAAACGAAAGTTTATGAATAGTGTACTTCCGACGAAAACCATCAAACAAAAAATGATAAATAAATTATGTCTTCTGTGTTGTTTGATAAACAACATTTGAATTCTATGCAAAATGATTCAAATTTATTTGTATCACTCTTTCTATGAAAAAAAGAAAGACATTACTTTTTAACTGAATGATACATATATATGCCATTTATGTTGATATTCGATAAATATATAAATAGATGTTGAATGATATAATTTTCTTTTGAAAAGGAAAATAATACAAGAACTATAAAGATTATAAGCATTCTTGTGCGAGACTAATACAATGTTAATCATAACAACTCTAATAGATAAATATAAAGAAGCTTTATTGATTTCAATTAAATCAAAATTCAATCTTGTGTACATATTTAAATGTATTAGGAAAATCAAAAAAGGACAACATAACTGTGTAATTGAATGATACAATATGGCTACGAAAAATGGCATTATATGTATAGAATCGTCGTTGAATTACTTTGGATAACAGAAGCCAGTACCTTGACCTGCGCAAACGCGTAATGCAATGTCATCAAGAGCTAGATCATTTCCTGCACCACCGGCAGTATCAGAGATCATTAATAGGGCAACTGCACTACTTGATGCTATAAATGAAAGACCATATCTCGCCCAAGTCAAAGTTGTATATTGTGGCACGTTTCCTGAACTTAATTCAGCAAGTAATTGATTTTCAGCTGTTAGACTTCGAACTTCAAATCGAACATTGGGTTCAATTAGACCGGATTGCGCACAAACATTCGTCAAATAGACAGAAAATTCGTAACGTGTACCTATACATAGATTATTAACTGTACTATTGTAAAATTGATCAGGCGTAAAATCTGCATTGACTAAAAACATGTATCCACCTTTATCCCCTGTATGATCTGTTGCGCCAACATGCCATGCGTTACCAAAATCATTAGGTATTGAATTGACAAAACTAAAATTGCCATCGTTTGTTGTAGCTCTGAATACTTGACTGTATGTTGTAGTGAAATCAAAGTATGAAGGTGTATGTTTAGAATATTGAGTTGAACCATTTCCAAATGTGATCAATAAAATAGGATTGTCATCGAGTGTTACATTATCAAGACATAAGCCAGTAGTTTCTTATAAAAGAAAAAATATAAAATATAACTGAAAATATATGTACAACAGATATTCAAGGAAACTAAATACATACGAACGTCACACGCTGCACCGGTGAAATCAGTTGTACATGTACAGTTGTTATAAATTGTACATGTTCCATTATTCTGACATGGTGGATTGCAACCACCTAAAGTAACGAGATAAATATAAATTCAATTTTACATCTGTCATATACGACCAGAGAATCATTTTTGCATATATGTGAAAAATCCAAAAAAAAGTAGAAATAGTTCAATACTGAAATCGTATGGATAGATAATGTATCTGTGGACAAATCATATAGGAGTGTGAATATTATCGTTGCAAGAACTTACACTCAAAAAAAGATAATTGGTTACTTATAAAAAATGAATTCTTTCATAACTTGCTCTTTTATTTGACTATTGCTGCGTGCTTTGAAATATAAGTGTTACTATACATGACTCAAAATAGTATATCTTCATCGCAAGAGTGACTTAGAACACATAGTTAGGCTGTACAGCACAAATTCTAGTGAACAAATGTATGCATCTCACAGTGACACTATATTTGTCCCTAGTTTTTAACCTTCACAAAAAAAGTTCTACCATCATAAATATATAATCCTTCCGGTTTCAATTCAATATTTTCCATTTTAATTTTTACCTCACTCAATAGTAGATCTTGTACTGTATTAAACAATTAATATTTTCCTAACATCACTATTAACCCTACAAATCAATAAAATATTGAGATCCGATTATGTATACAATGTGTCCAATTCATCCACTCACCGTTTCTAGAATAAGCTCTCCGATCCACTAAGGTTAATCATCTGTCTAATATCTAAAACTAGATGTAGCTTCTCATTTGCAAACATGAAGAAAGATAAAAATTTAAATGTTTTAAAATTAAGTTCCATATTTTCATTTCCACTTTAACTAACTACAATGTGTAGAGCTCCTTCTATATGGATTTATTCAGTATAACTTTGCCTTATTAAAACTTATCTTGCTCACTAAATTATTTATTGTTTGCGCTTTTAACCAAACTTTTATGCTGTCTAACGAAAATTTTTAATGTCATGAAAAATACTGGATTTGATAAGGATTTTTTCTTGAAGAGAATATCTATTAGATGATCGTAGAAATTCTGATAAACCTTGATGAAACGTCTATTCTACTCATAATGATATACCTCTGTTTTTTTCGCAATCCTTGCCATGACTAATACATTGGAACACGTCC